ACTAAGAGAATCCTGTTTTCAATAGGAGCCTCGATTAGTTCTTTCTCTCACAGAATGGATAGTTTTCGGCCTTTCTCCTTTACTTAGGGCTGAAAGCTAGGCATCAGACCGTGTAAATCAGGGGTACCTATAGCTATTGGACTTTGGTCATTTTACCTGAGAAATGTTGTTTGAAATATGCTGGAGATATGTGTACAGGTACATGTGTGACTGTTTTAAGAATTCTTTTATGAATAATGTCTTTGAGAAAGTATTTAATACGAAAACATGTGAATAATGGACCCTGTATATCAACAGAATGGATCACTTCATTATAAATAGTGATACCTGTAGACCAGGGCTTTTTTTTTTCCTCGCTACAATAAGCTTGTTGATTTCCGTTCTAATTAATGGTATTAGGCTGAAAACATATATAAGGCGTAACAAAAAAAAATTTTGTTTACAGTTACCCGACCGACCCTAATTTTAATCGCCGACCCAAATTTTTTTTCGTCATAAAAATCCGGAAGTTACTGGCCGGTCAGTTTAACTTTAAAATTTACATTCATCTTTGAAATCTAAATTGAAAGTACAGAAACAAAACCAGTGACTGAGTGAGTTATATTTCTACATCAACAAGTTTGTTGCAATTTGCTTAACATTTCGTGGCAGTTGCAAGGGTGTGCAACTACCATCGCCCAACGCCCGGTGCTACCGTTTTTTGGGGGTAGCAAAAATAAAATTAAAATTATGCATGTATAATCATAAATTCATGAGAAACACTCATTGTATTGCTATTTAATTTCCAACTAAATTGAACTAATGAAAAATTTCCAGGCAGCATGCTCCAACTGTTCTTAAATCACTTTAATCTCATCCATTTTGCAGTACTACCTGACTTATTTACTTATAAAATTATCGTTTTTTCGTAATTCGAATTTCCTCCACTCTCTGTTTGGTAAATACATGCAGATATCTCATTCAATTATATATGACCCCCCAATCAACTGATAGCTAAGTGTTATGTGATTAAACTTTAATACATATCAATTATACTCAATGGTTTAAAATAAAATAAAATGATTTTTGCTTCATTTTAGATTAGCTAGTCTAAGACTTGTGCAATATGTTCAGAAAAAGAAGAGATAATTTCTTAATATAATTTATAAATTTTAACCTGGCCTGGCTTTCTCAACAATGAACTTTTTAAAATATTAGTTTTTGCTTCTTTTTTTTTTTGTCCCTATAATTGGAATGGTCATTTTTAACTGCAGACTAGTAACTTTATTGCTGTTACAAACCCATGGCAGCTGTGGGTTAGTACTTGATTTTTTTTTTCAATTGCACACCCCTGAGTTATAAGGCAATTGGCAAGAAAGATTATATTGGCTACCACCCATATTACAAGCCCAAACAAAAGTAAGGCACGATACAATGGTAAAACTTTTTTTTTAATTCAACCAATTCACGTGAATTTGTGTATTATCTATAAAAAAAATTCAATTCAATAAAAAAAAAATCCTACCTACCGACCCTATTTTATTTCAGCATGTAACAGTAAACAAAGCTATTTTTTGTTTGGCCTAATCAATCATTGCACTGTGCATTATGCAATGCAATGCAAGTTGACTGTTTTATTTAAGTTTATTGTGAAAAAAATTGGTGTTTTATGAAATTACGATTTTTAATCATGCAGAGTATATAATTAATTGCAATATCGGTAATACTGTCTGTATTTAATTTCTGAACTGCAGCAAAGTCAGGTTAGTTTTATGCGTCGCAGACTTAATGTACAACAAACACCAAACACTTAATGTACACCAAACACCCAAGTTGGTGTTGGTAAAAGATATTTTATATTATAAAATATATTTGACTTGTTCAGCGATTGTTTAGGGGCTGCGAGGTATTCCACCGGGATTTTTTTACTCATCTGTCCTTATAAATGCTACAATAATCGATCTTGCATTGTATTGAATAGCAAATTGCCCCCATCCAACAGACGATTCCTACCTCCTTCACGAAAGAGTCCCGCTAAGTTAAGTAATCGGGATATCAAGTATTAATAGCCACTGGTGAGAATGTTTTAATTAAGTCATGACGCCAGGTGTGTTCAGTAGACCGAAAAATTCGCTGCACTTCGAGATAAGCCGGATAAAAAAAAGGCCTGGGACTTAAAATATACTTCTAAATGAGCAGGGTATTCGAGATATCCGGTGTTTTTTAAATCTTTAATATTGAGAAATCGGCTGGGACCAGCTATCGACTTCCGTCTTCGACATAAGCGGGGTATTCTAGATATCCCATGTTCGAGATACTGATATTTACCTGAAATTCAAAAAACTTATCATGAAATGAATGAAAATGTGCTCACCTGAGCATTCTGGCTAGGAAAAAGCAGAAATATCGGTCCTGGGGATGCTTCCATTAAAATATGACCAATCATGAGTTTGTTGTTCTTGAGAAGAAGATTCTTAAAGAGTTTTCTTATCCAAATTACACTGACCTATGACATCCAGTTACTGTGATTGATGTTTAAGTACACCATTGGGCTCTAGTCTCTCGGCTTTAACCAGCTAACCACAGAACTCCGCCTACCAAGTTGTAAGGAAATTTTGAAGGCCGTGGTTCACGTGCACAGGCAAAATACATGCAAAAACTGGTTAAACAGGTGTTTTCCAAAGCCCTGAAGCGGATGAGGTTTATACTTTTCTCTCTATTATCTGTCATGATACTGCGTTCACTTGGAAAAATAGTGTTCCGGTCATTGTCAGTTCCGACAAAGCACATGTTATTTTAACGCAGGAGGTCGTAGCAACATCGAAAAAAAAAATAGGCCAGCAAAAGTTTAAAATAAGACATTCAAATTGCATTTCTAATTGAATTATTTTAGATTCAAGACATTTTTCGACCTTTAATTGTCATTAATTTAATAGTTGTTGGTTCGTTTTGCGATTAGTTGGTGAATAATCAGGAAATGATATAAGCGGCAATAATTCTTCCTGTTTACCCAAGGTCATGGACGGGGTTTATTTTTAGCCCGGACTGGTGTAGCTGGATATGTCAAAGAAAAATGTGGTATTTTTCGGCAATAAAGGATACTCGCCGTGGAGTATGAATTAGCAATATCTCTATCTTGAATTTTCTCTAAACATAGCGAATATTGAAGGTAATATTGTCACCTAGCTAATACTTAAAAAAGGTACAATAAACCTCTATTGATCGACATAATTTAAAAAAAAAGCTTAATTTGGTTTCCAATTTGCAATGATTTGTGAATTATCCAACAATACATCATCATGATCATGTACATATTGGATGAACATCAGCATGATCAGTAACCACATCCCAACTTTGCAGGGACGTAGCATCCGCAGGGGGGGGGGGGCACTTTGTTCCTTAACATTACCTTGACTATAGTAAATGTTCATTGAAAGGATGGTGACCCCCACCCACCCCCACTTTATAACATAGTATAGAGATATCAAGGATCGTTAAGAAAAAAATTGGAAGTGAGAGTAAGATGGCTTCGAGAAGTTGGTCATACCCCCCCCCCCCATCCAACGTGACGAAATAGGATTTTCGAGTTCGGGGAACTTTTAATTTTTGTTTTTGTTTTTTTTTTTTTTGCTTGTCAACTTTTTCAGGTAAAAAAAAATCTCTGGTTGGCCCCCCATTTTCAAAAACGATGCTACGTGCCTGCATGGTTTGTTGATCATGTTGATACACGCCGTTACTTTAGTTGGCTAACAATACTAAATATCTCGCGATTTAATATCTAACTGTCAACATTTACATAAATTCTCATACTCAGCAAAATACACCTAGCAAATAAACTTACCATTTAAAAAAAATCACATACTGCCCTTGAACATGACTCTGTACTCTGTAGCGTCCTTCCCTGGAAATACCCGGATGACCATAGCACGACTCGAAACAGAAATGTCATGCCTTTCATGGTGAAGAAAAAATGAATATTTTAACCAGTTTTCAAAAATATGTAAAATCGTGTTCCTAAGCTTAAAGACACCATAAATGAATGCATGAAATAGCAGATTTATTTTTATATATGGGAAATAAGAAAAATAAAGAGACTTTTTAGTGGTGTCCTTAAAGCATAAATTTATTTACCTAAAAATATATATGCTGAAAATTGGATGCTATTTATCTACCTTTTCCATACTTAAAAAATTTAAATGTAATAAAATTTTGTAAGATCATGTCAAACTTTATTTAAAGTTTACAACTAATGCTTACTGGAATATTCTGTAATTTAGGTATTCAAGCTTAAACATTAAGGGGACCAATTTGGTGTCCCCTTAATATCCGTGTCCCCCTAATGTATATATATGTGGATGAGTGGTCTCCTTTATACATAAAACCTCCATATATATATATATATATATATATATATATATATATATATATATATATATATATATATATATATATATATATATCATAATTAATGGGGGAGGGAGACTTACTAAGGCTTTCATCCATTGTTCTCTTTCTTGTTTTTTCCTTCGATAAATTTTTCTGCTTGATTTCCGACCTTGAATGCTCTAATGTCATAAAACATAGTAAATATAAATATAAGGTTCTGAATATAAGGTTATAAGTAAGATTTCATTTGAGAAAATGCTATCTAGCAATAATTTTTCAGTTTTGTCAGTTAATTCATGTTTCAAACGGTTTCACCCCCACCCCCATCCCGGACCATTTCTGAGTTTCATATTGCTCTGGACATGCATGTATGGTAAAACTGTCTTATTTGTTGATAGATATATGTACTATACTAGTATTTAAACTCCATCAAAGTTTGATTTGCCAGTGACATCAAATAATAATAATACCTCCATTCTCTCCGTCTTTCTTTCCATTGTCTTCGTCCTTCTCCACTTTGACGGTGGCTTTCTCTGCTGTGTCCTTCTTCTGGTCTTGAAAATACATGTACATATATAATTATTTCTAAATTTACTATTTAAAAAAATTGTGAAAAATGAATTCAGATAAACTTGCTACTCTGTCTCACCATTATTTATTTCGACTGCAACTTTTTCTTCCACGTTCTCAGTAGTGTCGACAAGGACGGATGGTTCTGTGAGAGGTTTCGATCCAAGGAATTCGTCCAGCTTGTCAAAATAGACAAAACGACTTCTGGACTGGCCTGAAGTATTATTATGGAGCTTTGCCCTCAAGTATGCCTGCCTTAGTCCTTTAATTTTAGTTCGACAGGATTCCCAGGTCCTGTCAATTCCTTTCCCTCTCAAAGCTAAAAAAAATCAGTTATCTGTTATGCTGTACATCCAAATATTTTTACCGTAGCCTATAATATATTGCTTTTTGCATTAATATTTACAATGAAATGCTATTACCACTGGCAAATTTAAGGGGGGGGGCGATGGGGGTGGGGCGGGGGTACCCCCCTGAAATTGTCAAACTATGATATGAATAATAATGCCATACTTTGGTACAATACTTTGGCGTTCGCCCTCTGGGCCCCCTTCATTCAAACTATGATACTAGCATTAATGATGTCATGATTTGGTACATAGCTAACAAATACTAATACCACTATTATATATATTGTGCCTTGTTTTTCTCACATTAAAATACACGAAAACTCAGGGGCTTCTTGGCCCAATGGGGCTTACGTATACATGTACTACAAACTGCACTACTAAATTTCAATATCTAATCGGTATAAACATGAAACATTTTGATTTTGGAAGGGGGTATAGGCTAAACGTACTATTGAATTAAATGATAGAATATAGATATAAATTTATGTAGATCTATCAAGTTAATTAAGATAAATAAATTTAATATCTACATACCAATGGCAATTTTTTCATAGACATGCTTGTTTCTATAAACTCCGGAAAAATCATTAGAAATTTCTTCTGACGCCCAACTTTCAATGAGTTCAATAATTTCCTCGCTGTTCCAGTTTATTCCTCGCGTCTCCTTCGCCATTATTATGCCAAGTGCACTTTATGACGTAATTTTTATGCATATTGCGCAAAATAATATTTTTTGACGTCATATGGCTCCAAAATTCACGACATAATTTTATCAATGAAAAGAATCTCCATGGTAGATTTCTCTGTGGATCTTAAGCAAATTATCGGAGGTCATTTTTCTTTAGGGGGGGGGGGGGCTTTTGTGTCTGATTTCATGCGTTGATAAATCATTTGTGTGTCTTTTTATATAGCATTACTTTATGTCAAAACATTAGAAAGGGTATAGACATAATATCCCTTTATACCTGATGACAATACTGTTTTGTCTCAGTTTTATTTTTACTTTTTTTTATAATCAAAATAATTAAATAGGCCTATATGTGCATGGAATAAACCTTTGAAAATAGAGTAAAGGTGCAGAAAATATAAGGTAGGCTGAGATATACATGTAGCCTACATATTGAAAAATACATAAAATCATTGCATTTTTTGGAGAGAGTAGCGTGATTTTCTTCATTTCTTACCTAGAAAATGTATTAGTACCCATAACTGACCACTGGCAGGTGGTATTTGACCCATTTCTACCCTTACGCATGCGTCAAAATTTAATTCGAATTAGCTTCGCTTTGCGTTCACACGGAGCTAATGCGAAGTAATTTAATGCGCAGTAAACTAATGCGAAGTAAACTAATTCGCATTAAATTCTCCGTGTGAACGCTAAGCGAAGCTAATTCGCAGTAAATTTACGTTTAATTCGAATTAAATTCTCCGTGTGAACAGGGCATAAAAGCATTTCACACAAAAATTAATTAAAAATCTTATTTCATTTAAAAGTTAATAAAATTTCAATTTTTTTTGCGGGTTTGATTGACACAGGTCTTCCGTCTTCAAAAATATTTTGATATTGGTAAATCAGAGTAAAATATAATGTAAAAATAAAACAGACTTAGACATGCATGTAAATATGCTACACTTGTCAGTTCTCTTTCAACAAAACGTACATGACTGTATCATTCAATCTTAACCCCCCCCCCCCCAAAAAAAAAAAACAAACAAACAAACAAACAAAAAACAAAACAAAACAAAAACAAAAGAATGATTGAA